CTGATCCCTTATGAGCAACATTTTAAAGAAAGCCAGAAAAATACTGGCCAAGATACTGCTTTTTACTTTATGTTATTTATATTTTGAGTCTGGAAAAACACTGTGAAAAATCACTCGTAAGGTACAAATGCTACATTGACACAGAGCCAAGGCAAAAGCTTTGCAGTAGAAATTGTTCATTGACTCTGTGACTGCAAGTGTGGAAGAGCAGAAAGGATTAGATAACATTAATTTAAGAAACACAACAAAGCCAAGGCATGGGATTGGTGTATAAACAGCTTTAACTGTATATATTCATGTCCAGTGCCTCTGAAAACAAATGGAAGATTACTGGGATAAGATTAACTGTAACAAATGCAAGGAAATGTACGAAGCAGTTAGAAAAGCTTTTTATAGAACAGCAGTTAAATCTAGTTAATTGAGTTTGATTTTTGTTTTCATAATTGCTTGCATTGTTTCACTGAGCTCGTCCTGAATGTCTGACTTAGTCTAGCTGTCATGCCGTAATTAAAAAAAGAAATGTATAGAAACTGAATACCAATGTGATTAGTGTGGTGTTACATGCTTTAATATATGTGCTGCTCATACTGGTTGAGAGCTGCTTCACACTTAGCTGAGGAGATAATCCTCAAGTTAAAACAGAGCAACCATTCTATAAGGTAGTGCAGTTAATGGAAGCTTTTGACTGTATTTGAAGGGAACAAAGGTCATTCTGTTCACTGTTGCTGTGTCCTAAGAAGGTCATGAGTAAGTCTTTGTAATGAGAAACCCAAATTACTCTAATTCCCACTGTGACCCTGCACACAGGCACTTCCAAGCTAGTAGTCTTTTGTAACACTGTTAGCAGTAGCCAGGGATGAGCTGGCCTGAAGTTGCTGCATTCGTCTGTTGAGCTGTACCTGTGCAGTAGCTTCTATAAATCTTGAACTGGGTGTATTGTAGAAGTGTAGAGCATCTGACACACTGACAGCAAGACATAACATACATGATGTACGTACAGCTAGCTTTTGTGGGTGTTGATTGAATCAGATTTCTAAAATAAAATTACATGATGCTCTTGGAGCACAATTGAAGACCAAGGTAGAACAATATCCTGTAATGCTTTTCTGTACGCTTTTCTGTAGCTGTGGCATGGGCAGGAAATCTGATTGTGTCTGGAGGAGTGAAGCTGAGATCATGTTTTAAACTGCAAACACAACTGTTCCCTTTGACTCTGGGACTCATTTTGATCTCCCTTGCTTTGAGATAAACCCGATAAAGATGGATAAAGTTGCAGATGCTCATTGTGGGTCAGTTAGGTCTAGCTGAAAATACTAACATTAGGCAACAGATAAAGTGGAACCACTGGCTGGTTTTTGCATTGCACCTAGGTCCTGTGCTTCATCTGGCCACTCACTCCTTCATATTTTTTAGTTTCCAACATGTATTATGCTATTATATTTCTGAGTACAGGTGTTTGTTTAGCAAAGCTTTGGAGGCTAAAATCTATCAGAAGGAACACTGCATGTTTGTACAAATATAGTGAACTATTTTACAGGGTTTGCTGTTAGTGAAAAAGATGAATGTCGCTAGCAATGTCACATTTAAAGTATCTTAATTTTTAGCCTGTACCCTTAAACTTCTTTCTATGACCTTTGAGGCAGGTGGCAATCTGATTCAGTAGGACTGTGGCTTGAAGAACAGTAGATACTGTAGGAGAAGTCTGAAAGGAAGTGGCAAGCTCATATGGCAGAAATGTGGTTCCCCATTTTGTGCTCAGCCCTCGCTTCAGCCAGTGCTGTCAATCACTTTCCTTTCATGGCGGATGTCAATCTGGCACCTGTTGAATTGAAAACCAAGTCAAAGAACTGCAACGTCTGCTTTCAATTTATTTGACAATGGTATGTTAGGTAAAATTCTTTCTGAGGAAAACCAATAGTGAATACATGATTGAGTCCAAAGCTCTTCCTTTAAGTTAAGCATCTTCATTACCATTCATGGGCCTTTTATATAATTGCTTGTGTAGGGTTTACAGATGATACATTGTCTAGTTTAGAAAAAAGTATTCAGCAGGTGTGGTGATTTTCTACTCTAAAAATGAATATTTAAGACCTAAGGGTAGCTATTCACAACTCTGGGGAGGTGGGGAGATAGTAGAAGCTTTGTTTTAAATAGTTTATGACTCTTAATGCACTATTAAAAGAAGTATCTTAACATTTCCTGGGGTGCTCCATCACAAGCTGACTTGCTTGTTTAAGATTTTCCTAAATATCTGTCTAGTTAGATAAAAGATGTGCATGAATGTGCAAAAATTACTTGGCTGGTTTTTGTCTGAATGATGGCAATTAATAGAAAACTGAATTTGCCACATTTGTAGTTTTCTATTGTAGCTGAATAGGGAGATCAGTGTTGTTCCTTACACCCTTCTAATTTGTTATGGTACTTTAGATTCATAGGGCAGAAATGCTGGCTTCCATCCTCCACGCCAACCTGTTCAGAAGCTTAACTTGCATGGCTATTTAAAAGCATATATAGGAAAAATCAAATTATTTCTTCAATATGCCACCCCAGGATCATAGAATCATAGAATTTAGGGATTGGAATGGACCTTATAGATCATCTAGTCCCAGCCCCCTGCCCTGGGCAGGGACACCTCCTCACTAGATCAGGTTGCTCAAGGCTTCATCCAACCTGGCTTTGAACACTGCCAGGGCTGGGGCAGCCACCATGTCCCTGGGCAACCTGTGCCAGTGTCTCACCACCCTTAGAGTAAAAAACATTTCTCGAATATCTAACCTTGACTTTGCCTCCTTCAGTTTGAACCCATTACCCCTTGTCCTGTCATCGAAGTTCTTAACAAAGAGTCCCTCTCCAGCTCCTTGTAGGCCCTTCAGATATTGAAAAGTTGCTCTGAGGTCTCCACACAGTCTTCTCTTCTCCAGGCTGAACAGCCCTAACGTCCTCAACCTGTCTTCATAGGGGAGATGCTCCAGTCCTCTTAGCAGCTTTGTGGCCTCCTCTAGACTTGCTCATGTTAATGTTAAATTCATCCAGTACCAGCACTATTACCCAGGCTTCAGTCTGGGTGTCTTTGCACCAAAAGCTTGTACCAGCATGCTTACAACAGCATGACTTCAGAAACATGTAGTGTTGACCCTTACTTTGTTACCTGTGGGTTTTATTGCTATCGTTGGTAGAAGCAGTATGGAGCCAGTACATGTTGCATTGCAAGACATTTAAGGGGAAAAAAACCCAGAAATATTCCCACTTGGTATGTGGTTCTGTGTAATTTATAATAGACATCTTAGAAACACAGAAGCCATGGAAATTATCAGTGGTTTTCAAGTAGGTATGGAAAGGACACCCGTCAGAGTACATGTTGTACAAGATGTACAAGGCATGTGATATAAGGGAAAGAAATGACATGTAATCATTATCCTAATACAGTGAATAAGGATAAGAATTCTCCACAGTTTATCTACCAAATGTGTTTCTCTGTCTAACACAGAGTGACTCTAATACCTGAGTTGTTAATATTAAGTCTGTCCACATATTTTGTGCAAAATCTCTGTGCTAAGGCATTCACTGCATTGAAAAGCTGACACAATGGAATGCTTTTTGTGCTGGCTCTGGACAAATTATGGTCCATTTTATCAGTTCCAAGGTCAGAGTACTATCATGGCTCTTAAACTGTAGTGCAGTAAAGTGGGCTCTATTGAATGTTCGAGGAACAGCTGTAAGTTTGTCTGATTACTGCAGCTAGGTATCTCCAGCATCTGAGATTTTTGTCTGAGCCCATTTCTCTTGTCCACAATTCTCATTTTTGCTGTAATTTGATTTCAGAATTGACTTTCACTGCAATATCTGTGGAGTTGTAGAGCTCAGACATAACTTCTAAGATACACAGCAGCCATCGTTAGTATGTCACTGTAGAAAGGCTTTCATTGCTTATTTTGGCTCTATTGCTAGTTTAAGCATAAGTCAAAGGGCACTGTTATTAAACACCTTGTACTGCCAGAGTCTGTGTTTCTTTCCCTGTCATTCTAGTAGACCAGCTCTATTTTTAGAATTGAATAACTTAAGTCCTTGCACACAAAACCTGAACTAGATTTGCATGGACTTAATACGTCTCTTCCCTTCTCCAACTTGTCTACTACAAGCCTTTCCTTCCCTTTGAAAAGAACCCCACAACCAATATCAAATATTATTTTTCTGCCCTGCATGCCTGCACTGCATTTTTTTCCCCACTTTCTTTGGGAAATAAATGTCATTATTTTGTTATCTTGGCCTCTCTGAAACGCAGTACAACTGCTTTAAATTAAGATCAGTATTATTTTTTTTCTCATAAAAGCAACATTACTCACCAGAATCCGCTTCTTTTCTCATGGCATACAGTGTAAAACTCCTGTTATCCCTTTTGTGAAGAGGGGTGCTTCCTTGCCCATTTTGCATTTTCTCTTCTCCCCTTCTATATAGCAGTTCATCAGCATTGCTTTTCCATTAGCAAAGTGGGTCATTTTAATAAAATCCCTCTTCCCCCAAACTTTACCCTTCATTTTTCAGTTCACTCTCTTGAGTTCACGACCACCTACAAAGCAGCTCATTGATTCTGTGGTATGACTTTTGCTCTCTGGGAGCAGGTGAAGAAATACTAGTGGCTTTATCTTGTCTGCCATGGGACCACAGCACATGTGGGCATCAAACAACACAGAGTTTCTATAGAGTAAAAAGGTGGTAAAAACACAAATAAAGGTGACTTCTGTTGGTAAGATGGAGCTTAGTGTGTATTTAGGTGATATGATGTGTTTTATTGACTTTCTCTCCTAGTCTGACTTCTAAAACTTGTTCTATTATTACATAGTCATGAATAATTGTGGAATGGTTACTGCCTTGCAATTGAAGGACCCTATTTTTAGCCTTGTTCTTTTAACCTTTTAGGAACGTTGACATAGTCTTTAACTTTCTGCAGAGAAATAAAGTGTTAAAATGTTTTTCTTTTCCTTTTCAGGGAGTAATATGTGGGAGGCTGTGGACTATTTGCTTCCGACATAGGAACAGCATTGGGTTGGGAATCTGCACTCCTGAGAGAATGCTGGGAATCTGCAGAGGGCGACGGAAATTCCTGGCTGCCTCTCTGACCATCCTTTTTGTCCCAGCCATTACGTGGATTTATCTGTTTGCTGGGAGCTTTGAAGGTAGGACAGGAATGATGGCTGTGGGAGTGGGGGGAGAGTGGTGTTGAATGATTTGTGTCTGGGCAGACAAATGCAGATCAATGATCATTGATTTTATTTAAATAAATCCCTTTTGTCTTGCACATGAACTAGTTCCCAAGGTGCAGATTTCAGCAAAGGAACTTCCTTTCCATGTTCTCACTGCTGAGGATGAGTTAATTGCTGGCCCCATTTTTTTGATTGCCCGCTCATCTTTGAACACTGAAAAAGTGCAACAAACCTCCTCACTTGACTCATTTCTTCTCTGTGTTTTTGGATTTTTAAGAGTTGTTCTATCCTATGCCCTGTAAGATTTTGCTTCTAATAAAACTTCACAGTTCATTTCAGATATGCTGAACACAGAAAATCAATGAATACCTATATAAAATGTATTTATATAACATTAATTTGCATCAACATCCATCTGAGTGGCAGTGCATTGCTATACCTGGAATATCTTTCTGTCCTCATCTTTCTCCTGGTGGAAATACTCCAGTTTGTAGGTTCATTGACTTGCAACTATATAAGAAACACTTTTCATAATAAACTTGGAATAACCACTACTTTGCATTTTAAATTTTCTTTCTGATGAAGTATTTTTTCTGGCCTTCAGTTAGATGAGGTTTGAAGTTTCTGGCTCTCCTATTTTTTGTGTTTTGTAAGGCTTTTTGTTTGCTGTTTTGTTTTGTTGTAGAAATGGAGTATTTTATGTTTGGCAACAGGTACGTTATTTTGGCAAGAGTCAAAAAAAGCTGTTCAGCCTTTGGAGTTATCATAGCATGAGAAAAAGTGTTTCAACCTTTTAAAACGGTTCAAACACTGGTTTACAGTCTGATAATTTTAAAAAGTCGCTATTTAAAATGTCACGTTTCTTTCATGCAACCTTAGCTGACAAATTTGTGCTTTATGTCAAAACAAAATGCTTCCAAGTTAAACTACAAGTAAGAACACGTGAAGATTTTCAGTGTGTATGACACACACTTCTCAATTAGTTACATGCCAGGTACAAATATTTGTTTATGCAAATTTATTTGATTACTTAAAATCCTGCCTTAATGTGCAGTAGCTCCATGAGCTCATTCTAGAATGAAACACTTATGGGATTCATGTTAAATTGGAAATATGAGGGGTGCTGGCTGCATACTTGAAAACTAATGATCTGGCAGGCAGAACAGTACTGATTTTGTTTGATTTTTAAAAACTGAGCAAATGCAAACCTCACCTTTTTTGCTTTTAGAATAATATTAGGCTGCTTTGTCGTAATGACTATTTTAATTGTGTCCACAGTTGATAATGCCATGGAGTTTTAAATTCCTTTGCATGTAGAATCCTTTGTTTTTACAGAGAACTCAATACAAATCTTGAAATTTGCTGCTACATGGTATTTGAAGTGACTTAAAGCTCTCAGTGTGAATTAATCTTAAATGCAAACCAGGGAGCAAAGCCCATTACCTATTATAGAGCTTTGCAATGGAAAAGGACTGCAAATTAGATAAAGTTCGTAACTCTTTCAGTTATTTTTCTGCATCTGATTTCTTTTAATTTTCGATGAGGCATGATTTAATCTTAGTTGATTAAAACTAAGGTCAGTTAGATATTTATTTAACCAAATAGTAACTTGGGTTTTACTTATCTTGTAGATATTACAGGCAAAGAGTTAAAGACATTTTGTCATTTTATATGACTTTTTGGTTTGTTCTTCACTATGGTTCACACAATTTGCTCATGTTTTAAGCTCTCTGTGGAGGTTGTAGTGAGGTGGGGGAGGGTTTCTTCTCCCAGGTAACAAGCAGTGGAGCAACAGGAAATAGTCTCGAGTTGCACCAGGAGAGGTTTAGATTGGATAGGAAAAATTTCTTCATAGAAAGGGTTGACAAGCATTGGAACAGGCTGCCCAGGGACATGGTTGAGTCACCATCCCCGGAGGTATTTAAAAGATTTGTAGATGTGGCACTTAGGAAGATGATTTGGAGGTGGATGTGACAGTGCTGGGTTAACAGTTGGACTCTAAGATGTCTTTCCCAATGTAAACGATTGTATCATTTTATGATTCTATAGTTGAGTAAAAACTGCTTCACAGCAGAATTGTGCCTTGATTTATAAGCACCAGGAGTGAAGAGTCCTCTCTGTCCTCTCTAGCACTAGTTTCTTTGGTTAAACACAGGCAGTGCTAGAAGTTTGCATTTCATCCAGTTTTAGGTTTGAGTAAATGATTCTTTTTAGACTTTTCTTCACTAAGTGAATGAAATCATCAATACATGGTATCTTCACAGACTCACTCAATTATTCAGTATGTCAAGAACCTCAGGAGTTCTCTCATTAAACTCCTGCTCAAATCAAGGTGGGGCTTGGGGGTCAGGCAAGATTTCTTAGGCCTTTATTCAGTTGTGTCTTGAAAATCTCCAGGGAGAGAGACTACATGGCCTTCCTAATGCCACACATCCCCTCACCATGTATCTCTGTGAAGAGCCTGGTTCTGTCTTCTTACAACATGCTTGTAGGTACTAGGAGGCTGCTGATAAGTCCCACAGAGCCTTCTTTTTTTCAAGCTGAACAAGCCCAGGACAAGTACTTCAGTCACCCCCCCCTCCCCAGCTTAATAACTCTTTTCTGAACTTCATCAATGTTGTTCTATTTGGGACCCCAAAATAGACACAGTGTTTCTTATGAGGTCTAATGAGTACATCTAATGAGATGTGGTCTCAGGGAAATGGTCATTTTCCTCAGTTTAATTGCTATGTTCCTGTTGATAGAGTCCAAGATGCCATTGGCCTTCATCACTCTCCAGGCTTGCTGCTGGCTCATGTTTGATGTTCTGTACACCAGGGTTACAGGTTTTTCCCCACAGGGCTAGTCCACACCCTGTGCCATTACCAAAGGGTAAAGTCCTTCCCAGGCATAGGGTTTTGCATTGTTCATTCCTGAACATTCCTGTTCATTCTGTTCAGTCTGTCTAGGTCTCTCTAGGTGGCACCTAAACTCACCTTGCCTCTGAGTTTATTGACTGCAACCCCTAGACTTTGTATCATTTGCAGTCTTGATACAGCTGAATTCTGCATGTCATTGGTCAAAAGAGTGTAAAGGACTCGTCACGGAATAGACACTGAGGAGCTCTACATGTAACTGTCTTCCAAACGGAGCATGAATGAATAACCATCATCCTTTGAACCCAATGTTCCAGATGGTTTTTCAGCCATAGCGACTGTAAATTCCCAACTTGGATACAGGGATGTTGTGGGAGACCTCATTGAAGATTATGCTTAAATTCAAGGAAGATCACATCAACTGGTCATCTTCTATTCATAGTCATTTCATCACAGAGGCACTCAGGTTGGTCAAGCATGATTTACCTTTGGTGAATCCGTGCTAATTATTGCCCTGACAAGCCAGGGTGTGTTTCCATTTGAAGACACTTACATATAGTAGTCAAATCACCTCTCAGTCTTTTATTCACTAAGTAAAAAGGTTGATCTAGCTGAGTTGTCATAACAAAAAATATTGTGGAAATTTCTTTATTCTTTTGCAGGGTTTTTCTTTTCAGGGCTCTAGACTAAAATATTTCTGTTTGGTATGATATCTGCAGTGCTGTGTCTGCCAATTATATGTTCTTGATGTAATTAAGAATTACATTACTCATTTAGCAACTTTATATGTAAGAAGTTACTCATTTGCCATAGCCTGGCAATGGGATCACATTTAGAAACCCTTGAAAAGCTTTCTTAGTGAATCTGTAACATAAAATATGCCCTAATGCAGTGAATTTCTATGCTTTTTAAATAGTTTGCAATTCTTTAAGACAGAATTTTGTTTTATTTTGGGTTTTGTTTCTCTTGTCAAAAAGCACCTGGCAGCTTTGTTCTTCACAGTTGTCACTCAGACACTGTCAGTAAGACCCTTAGAATATTCATTGGAGGTGGTATTACCCAAGCTGTGACAGCAATAGCTACTAAAAGCCTCATTAATCATGTATAAATGTCTATTAAGGTTATGAACTAGAATATTAAAAAGGATATTGAACATTGTATAGCCTTTGAATGTACCTGGTTACTGTTGTTGTTTTTAATAATGCACATGGACAGTATAATTTAAGTTATCAGTTACTTTGAATGAAAAAGCTAATTGTTCCAACATTCTTAGATTACATTCAAAAGACAGTAATAGAGTAGGAAGGATGGAATGCATTTAAAACAGGGAAGAGGAAATTATCAAATAATATATGATGAATTTTCATTAGAAAGAAAATAGCAATTTCATTAACCAGTGGTAGCATAATTTTCCAAGCTATATGCACAGTTTTCTCTCTTCCTTACCATGAAGGTCATGTAAAATGGAGATTTGGAACTGTAATTTAACCATGCTTTCTAGATTACTGATTCCTCAAAAAAAAAAAACCCACCCAAAACATCTTCTGTGACTATGTGGCCTCAGCAGATTTGCAGTCAGCTCCATTTTGACAGGATGAAAATACACTTGAGTTAGCAGTTTCTGCTTGGTGGATCCACTTGAGATCAAAAGCCCTAAAATATGTGTGTAGGGCTCCTGTGCTGAGTATATTTCACAGGAAAGTAAGAGCTATTAATTTAACCTTAATATGAAACATGGAAAAGCTGCATGAGACTGGATGTGGCAGTTAGTGCCATGGTCTGATAACCACGGTAGGGTTGGACACAATGATCTTGGAGGTCTCTTCCAACCCAGTTGATTCTATGAGATCATGTAGAGAGAGAGCAGTTGGCTCTGCTTTTCTTAACTGCAAGGGTAACATCCCAGAAAACAGCATCTGCCTTCTTTTCTGGGACTTGCTTTCCTTGATTGTCCTCTTTTCACTCCAACATTAGGCGACTGCTTTTCTTTGGCAGTACGTTTTAGTCCAAGTCATCTGTAGAGACATGATTGAAGCCAGAGTTGGGCAAACACCTCATAAAATACAATAAAATAAATTGAAGGAAAGCTGCAAATATTCATCTTAGTATTTAAATGGA